GGCAGGCCTGGGACGTGTGGGGAGCTGGTGGGCAGCAGTATGGACTGCAGTCACCAGCTCTGCAAACCTGGACGTGTCTTATTTCTCATCCCAGGTTACGGGATCCTGTTCCTTTCGATGGCAGCCACACCAGTGATCCGGGCAAAGCTGTCCAAGCTGGTGAATGAGAACGAGCAAGGTAAGGGGTGGCCTGGCAGAGCCCACAGTAGGACCCTCTACATCCAGACTGCTGATGCATGCTCAGGAACCACCTTGGGAGTGTGCGCTTCACTCTCAGCCTCTTCTGGCTGAAGGGGGTCAGCTCCCCCAGAGCCCTCTGCCCGCACCCACGGCCATGTCCCTGGCCCTGAGCAGGGCTGCCCCTTTCTCAGCACTGCCAGCCAGTTCTCTAGGCAATGCCCCATGCACACAAAGCAGGAGTCAGTTGTGTTTGAGCACGGCGGATGGGTCACTGAGCTGCTTTCAAAGCCTTTCCCTGGAAACAAGCCTTAGATGGGTTAAAAATAAACCCTGCACACAGAAGCAGTCCTGGCCCAGCTTTCACTTCAGTAAACCAGCAGCAATCGGAAGAAGCTCAGCATTACTAGGCAGATAAACCACAGGGTGTGGTGGGTCATCCTCCTCAGTGTGACGCCGGGAAGGGCCCAGCCAGGGCTCTTCCTCCTCCACCTTGCTCTGCAGAGCCTGCTGTCCTTGTGAAGGACATGCGAGCTAGGGCTGCAGGGCGTGGGGGGACATGAAACGGCAAGTGTCTGGACGCGTGCAAAGCGCTGGCTCCTCCAAGAGCTCTCCTGCGTCCTCTGCCAGGATGAAGCCAGTGTGAATGTGACTGAGCTTACAAAAGGCAGCATCTCTGCCATGTTGGTTGTGTAAGGAGTGATAACATGCTTGGCATGGACACAGATGGAGATTGCCTCTGCCTCAGGGAACTGACAGTCCCTTTGGGTATGTGGCATCCTGGCTGTGCGCGGGCAAGTGCTGCTCAGATAAGACAGTGGCATTTTCCTGCACATGGGCTGAACTTGGCCCATCATAAAAAACAAGGATTGGAAGGAACCTTAGGAGTCATCTAGTGCAACCCCCTGCTCCAAGCAGGACCAGCCCCAACTACATCATCCCAGCCACGGCTATCTAGCTGGGTCCAAGGATGGAGACTCCACCACCTCTCTCGGTAACCCCGTCCAGTGTTTCACCACCCTCCTCATGAGAGAGGTTTTTCCTAATATCCAGCCTAAACCTTCCTTGCTGCAACTTGAGCAACTGTCATTTCAGGCTGTGTACAGGGCACCCGTCTCCCTGACAGACATCTATCCCCAGCCCCTGGCGCTTGTGCTGCGGCTTGAAACGGGCAGGGATATTTCAGTAGGGCCCTGGACATCTGGCGTGGAGGGAAGAGCCTCTGGCCCCAGGAGAGCCACGTGACTGACTGCTGTCCATGGTGTCTCTGCCAGGTGCTCTCTTTGCCTCTGTTGCCTGCGTGGAAGGACTCTGTTCCCTCGTGGCCACCGGCGTGTTCAACTCCCTGTACCCTGCCAGCCTGCACTTCATGAGAGGATTCCCCTTTCTCTTCGGGGCCATCATTCTCCTCATCCCAGCTGTCATTATCGGGTAACTTGGCCCCCCACTCTCATGTAGACAGCACTGTGCTGCTTCTCCTGCCTTTTGCAGGGCAGTGACTTATGAGGGGTTGTTATAAGGCTTGCTGTGAAGGGTGACTGTAAGGGGAGGTTTACTCGCTGACGTGCGAGTCTCGGTCTTGGGACCTGGATGGAAGGTTGGAGCCTGCGGTGGGTGTAGGTGCTGCAGGGCCCGGTGCCTGGCCCAGAGCAGGACCCAGGGGAGACACGTTGGCTGCTTCTGCAGACCAAGGGGAGAGTTGGGTGTCTCGGGGGCAGGTTGCAAAAACCTGCACTGTGAGCCAGGAGGTGCCTAGAGCCAGCTCCTCACATGGGCATGTGTGGACTCCCACCCCTCTCTAGTGGAAGAACCTGGGTCTGAGCTGCAAGGCAGCACCTCTGTGATCTCCAGCCAGGAACCAGGAGGCCTCTCTGAGGGCAGGCGCCTCCAAAGCTTGCTTTTTCCTGCATGCCCCCGGGGCAGCTATAAGCCTGTTGGTTCTCTCGTAGGTGGATAGGAATCTTGGCCTCGGAGCCGGAATACGGTCACTTTATGGATGCTGCCTCGTCCCCGACGGAAGGCGAGGCAGTGCCACCCCCCAAGGAAATAGTAGATGCTGCTGAATGAGCCCGTCGGCAGCAGCTCTGGACTCTGCTAGGAAGACTTCACAGACTGTGACCCACGGGTGTCCTTGGAGGTGGGCAGTGCCATGCAGCTTGACGCAGTAAGAACTGAGGTCTGCTGGTGGGGATGCCTCCGTGCTGTCCTGTTCCCCCAGTCTGTCGGGGAAGATGCACGGGGCTTTAAACGTGGAGTAGGGATAGGGACTAGCACCACTTGCTCACAGGGGCCACAGGAGGAGTCATTAGCTGGCCATTCTTGGGGGTGGAAATGGGGCGGGGGGAGCTCAGGCTGAAGCTACAGACCAGAGCCCGGCAGTGCATCTGTACTGGGTAGCAAATGATCAATCCATTAGGGTGAGTGCGACCCACACCACTGTCACTCCTCACGCAAGGCAAAACTGGCTCTGAAGAGGGCAGATGTGGAGAGCAATGGGCGGGCTGTAGAAGGAGGCAGGTGCCCGCACCTGACTAGCAGAAGCTGTCTGGCTGGGCTTTTGCAGGGTGGCATTTGCCTTCCCTGGTGGGAGGAGAGTCCCATGGGAGTGCTCTCAGCTGCCAAAAGTGTTGGCCTCAGGGGAATGTGTCCCTAGGAGAAAAGGATTCCTTGTGTGAAGTGCCAAAGCAAGCAGCCCCGGGCCCTGCTCCCTTGCAGCCCAGGGATTCAGAGCTCTTAATAAAATCTTGTTGACTCCTTGTCACATCCATCACTTGCACAGTAATAAATTAGCAGGGCTGATTAAAAAAAACAAAAAAAAATCCCTTATGCAAGGCCCCGGGCACATGCTGTACTGTCTGCTAAGCAGTTTACCTGCAAGGATAAGGGTTCTCCAGGGGGGAAATAACTGCTGCCAAGGCCACCGTTTATTGGCTATAAAACAGAACCAGGGGTTATTTCAGATCATTTTCTTTCTTGCTTATCTCTCCATCATGCTCTTGCTTCCCTCTTGGCTTGGGGCCACTGGGACAAAGGAGAGGAACAGCAGCTGGCGCTGATCTGTGCTGATCTGCCAGGCCCCTGCACGGGTCCGGAGCTGTGGGACCCTAGGTGACCACAGAGGTCTCCGTGGGCTTGTCTCTGGGTCCTGGAGGGGAGCGCGCAGCAGCTGCAGCTCTGCCCATGGGTCATGCATAGTACTTGCTGCACTGGAGTAGCTGCCCCTGTCCTGTCAATGGGGACCACTGCCATTAGCACGGAAAGGGGGATGCGGGGCAAGAGCCAGCTCTGATTCCCCCCAGTCTGGCTAGCTCAGCACATGGACAAAGGGGTGGTGGGGAGACCTCACCCTTTGTGTGAGATCTCTACTTGGCCGCTGCATGCTAGTGACTCGGGGGGTGGGGGCTGCATTGTCCCCTCCCCTGGCCCAGCCCTGCCCCTGGCACCATTGGGGTGGCTCAATCCCTGGCACCCAATGTGTGGGCAGGGGAAACATGAAGTCCTGTTGATGGAAGAACAGCTCCTTCTGTGCAAAGTTTGTCTGGGCTCTTCTCCCAGATTGACAGGCACGCAGCCTGGTGCTGAGTGGCTGCTACAGGTGCCTCGGGTAGCACGAGCCTGGGAAGAGACAAAGCATGAGATCTTTGGGCTGTCTGGGCCGGCAAAAGTGCCCTCGTGTCTGAATACTGTGCCGGCTGGAGGGCGGAAGCCAGCGGCAATCATGGCTGTATCTTCCCCCAGGACTGCATCAGGTGTGTGCACCATGGCCGCGGAGGAAGGAGGGGGCTAAGTCCCCCTGCCCATCCCTGCCGCTTCCATGGGGCATCCTGGGCAGAGCCAGCTGTGGCACCTTTGCTGGGTATTGCACAGAGCCATCCCACTCATCTCCATGCTGCCCTCCTGCCGCCCAGCCGGGGACGTGTGGCACGTGTGCTCTGTCCTGTCTCTGTCTCTCCCAAGGGGAGCTGAGCTGTCTGATCGTTTCCCCCAGCTCGTTGTGCTGCTCTGGGGAAGACCAGGCAGGTCAGAGGCATGGGTGCTCCAAGAAACCCTAGGGAAGCTGGGCAGAGTGAGGTTTGTCGTGGCCCTTAGCCCCTGGGACCAGCACAGCAGACCTTTCCCTTCATGTCTGGGGGGTGACTGCAGGTATCCTGCTGGAGCTGGGCTTTGTCAAGCCCCCAGACAACTGGCTGGGGCCACAAGAGTCCCTGAGCTCAGCTCAGCTCCCCTGGGAAGCAGCCCCAGGAGCGGAGCCAGGCCTGATGTGTCTGCAGTAGCCTGCGCTAGTGCAGTGCCTTGTGCTCCTTGGGGTTTCCTCCATGCCAAGGACACCTCCTGCTCTTTGAGCCCTGGGGCACAGGGTATGGACAGCAAGGTCTGCCCCAGCTATGGGGCACCAACCTCTGCAGGCCGGAGGGGGCCCAAAATGCTGCTGGAGGGGGACCCTCGGTCCCAGCCCAGAGCACCATGAGCCAGGCTCGCTTCATGCTGGGCTGGGCAAGACTTCAGTCCAGCCTGCAGCTTCCAGGGAGGCTCCACCAGACCTGTCGGGGGCCGAAGGCCAGGCATGCAGGTGCCTGGTGAGTGCAGGCACTGCAATATTATGCTGCCGATGAGCAGAGGGAGCAAGAGTGAGACCCCAGCATGGTCCAGCTCCTCGGTGCTGTGCAGAGAGGCCCGGGTCACAGCGCAGAAGCACGTGTCAGCCTGCCTCGCACTGGGCTCCCCACCTGCCCCTGGCGCCCAGCATGTGAGCGGGGAAGGGCACCGGTGTGGCTAGTGCAGCGACATCACCTGACCTTTAAAAAACAGAAGAGGCATTTAGCAAAGGCCCCTGGGAAAGGCTCTACCTGATCTCGGTGCTATAGGGGACTGGCAGGGGAAGGGCACGACGGGGAGATACAGCTTATCCCGCGTGCAAGGCCACGAGGAGGTAGGAGGGAGCCCGCAGCGGGGCGGGGGTTCTGCTGGGGGACCGGCTGCGCCTTGCCTGCCACTCGCCTCCCGTTGGCACTTGCGGTGCTGCTCAGCCGCCGGCGGCAGCGACGTCCCCCCATGCCTGGCAGAGGCACTGGCGTGGGGCTGCAGCAGCTGGGGAGCTGGAGCTGCGGGGTGATGGAGCCTGCCGGCAGTGGTCTGTAGGCACAGCATAGCGATTCCTCCCTGCAGCTTCGCCCCAGCCCCTTCCTTCATGGGCACCTCTCTTGGCCCTGCAGCCTCAGCTGGGCAGTGCCTGCACCCTCCAGAGTGGGATGCCGGGGGGCGTGGGTCAGCGCCGAGGAAGGCGGGGAGGAGGCTGCCCTGTCCTGGGACAGCAGCTGGGCCACTGGCAGTCTAGGCTGGCTCCTTTTGTACCAGGCGGGGAACGCCGGGACTGGTGTTGCAGAGCCAGCGTGGGGGTGCCCCCAGCCAAGTGCCTGTTCTCTTGCAGTGTCCCGCAAGCCAAGGGAGCAGGCAGGGTCCTGTGCAGGAGGAGAGCGGGGTGCGCTGTGCAGCGCTGGAGAATGGGAGGTTTAGAGGGAAGATCTGGCCCTGCAGCCAGGGCTCCTCCAGGAAACTGGTGGTGGTGGCTCGGGCAGCACTAGGTCTGCGCCAGGGGTGGCACGCACTCCAGGCTGTTCTCGGAGCCGGCGGAGGAGTCCCGGGATGAGCGGCCCTGGAGGAAGCGGATGATCTTCTCGATCGTGGCGTCCTGGTACTCGTGGGACCACCTGTGTTTGTGGGAGAGCAGACTCAGCTGTGCTGTCTGGAGAGTGTGGGAGATGCCCCCGGTGAGCTCAACGTGGGGCCGCAAGAGCCGCGGGGACACCCCCTCTCCATTCCTGCCTGGGGGTCCAGCCTGGCAGGGAGCGGAGCTTGGAGAACAGCTTGCAGGGAGCTGGCTAGGGGCAAGGCGAGGGCTGGAGGACAGCAGGGGCCTGAGGCCCATCCAGATTCCCCAGAGCCTGACATGACAAGGAGAGGCAACCATTTTGGGGGGACCAGGAGAGGTGTGTGCACCGGGGGAGCAGGCAGCTGGGTCTCCCAGGCCTCGTGTCCAGCCCTGAGCCTCCCACTAGCCTCCGTGCCCAGTTTTAGCCACATTTCCGCCCCCCCCGGCTCACTTGATGCCATTGAATTTGAGCACGGCCCTCATGTCCTCAGGGAGTGTCTGTGGGTCAGGCCACTCAAAGTGGTCGGTCACGGGGACGATGTTCTTCCCACAGTTCAGTGCTGTCACAATCTCCTGGGGAAGGGAAGGGAGGCAGAGCTCAGCCCATGGTGCCACTGCCTCCGGCCTCTACTCGCGCGGTGCCACCCAGAGAAAGGGCCGTGGCAGCGCCCACCTCACCTTGTGCACCCAGTCCTTGCACTCAGGGTCTCCCATGCACTTGTCCAGCGAGCCCGGGGAGAGCACCAGCACAAAGTTGCGGGCATTCATCACGCTCTGGATCAGCTTGTCTTCGAACTTCCCAGCTTCCAGCTTCTCCACGTCGATGAATGCGCTGAAGCCGTGCAGCTGCAGGTGGACCTTCAGCAGGCTGGAGTGAGACAGACAGGGCATCACCAGGGTACCCTCCAGGCTCCTGTCCTCCAAGCCTGCTCCAGCCATGTCAGCTGGAGGCACCGGACACGGAAGTGCAGGGAGCGGCTCCCACAGGCCAGGTGCAGCCTTTGAGAGCTCAGCCACTGTCCCAGCCCCTTGCAGCAGACCAGGATGTGGGCACCCAAGGCTGGCACTGAACATGGGGGTAGGAGTGGGCCTTGCACCCAGCCCTGTGCAAGGGGAAGGGGAAGGGGAAGGGGAAGGG